ATGCCATTTTCTCATTGTAAACACATATCCATATGAAATTGCCATGAAAACTACATTTGAAATTCAAGTGGTGATGGTTTTGACCCCACATTAACATTTTTAGAGGAAATAACCTTTGGTGGAAATGTGCATTAAACATTATTACAAATTTAATGAAAAAGCATGCATTTGTGCAAGATAGGATATCCCTAGGTATATTCAGTCTCATGACTTTTTTGAATGTTATCTAAATCGAACATGAAATATACTTTATCTATAGGCATGACCATTACATCATGTGACTTACTGAATTCTGTCTAGTCTTCAGCCCCATAGAAATTATTATCTACATCAATTTTGCTGATTTTTTTTTTCATTTCTCTTTCGAGTAGGCTCCATTCAAGGCATAATGAAAACCTTTTGTCAAGTACTTATATGAAATTTCAATACCCAATTTTATTCTTAAAAACTCATTTGCACCTTCCACTACTCGGGCAGTGGTCTCTGACTCTGTTTCCTTAATTCTATAAAGCCTAATTTCACAGGATAGATTTTAATCTATCCTGCACCCCAGGGTCACCACCTGCAGGACTACTGCACCCCAGGGTCACCACCACAACACTGAGCTGACTCCTGAGAGAAATGGACCGTACCTCACAACTACCCACTTCAGAAGCTCTGTAACCTAGCTACAATTGGAAGCAATGCACCTGTGCAATCAGACTTCAGGAAGCCTTCTTTCCACTTAATAGATGTGTCTATGTAAATGGCCCCCAGAAAAATCATCATTGTGTGTCCATGATCACATTTTAAAATACATAGTTCATAATATTACTTCTCTTAAAATTAAAGAATTAAAGCTCAAATTTTTTTCTAAATATATTTACTTTAAAATGTAGACTCCAAATATTCCTGACCATTTAGATGGGCCAGTCCTTAATCTATGAAGAGCTGAACATATCCATAGAATTCTACTAAGCTTTCATTTCTGAAGAGGAACAAAACTATACATCATTGTCTTTTGTTTCTGAAATGTAATTTCGAAATAAAATAAAATTGAAAAGTAATTCTCACTAGACCTAGGAATTTCCTAAATGGATCAAAGTACTTTTGAACACAGGTGGGATTTAATTAAAATGACATGACTTGTTGTTAGGAGAACAAGTTGCAGCATTGCTTACTAGTTCATTCTGTTTGTTTCTGTGTGTGGTCCACTTATAAGGAAACTTAACAGTAAGGACGCTCTAATATTTCTTTTATCACACGTGGGTACAATTGGTGGATGGTGGGGTGTCTATCCGACTTTTGTTTTCTTTATTATCGTTCAGATCTGAATCTTTGCGAAGGTGACACTTGAACACTTGCTTATAAGCCTTCCTGAAATTTTCAGAGAGAAATGCATATATAATAGGATTCACCGAGGAATTGCTGTACGCCAGGCAGTGGGCGGTGATTCTGAAGAAGAAGGAAGCTGGCGTCAGCGGGAAAACTCCAAACTCAACCCAGAGATGGATGATGTGGTGAGGCAGCCAGGAGATTCCAAACACCACGACCACCACCAGAATCGTCTGTGCAGTCTAGAAAAGAAGAGGAGGAGGAGGAGGAGGCGGCGAAGGAGGGGGAGGAAAGGAGGAAGCAAGGGAGGAGGAGGAGGAGGGAAATTCATTGATTACAACAGAAAAAGAATCCAGCATTTTAAAATACAGCCTAAGCTAATTTTATGTGTATTTTCATGAGATAAAGAATGGATACAACTGCTTTAAGTGTTAACCTTCACTTTCCATAACACTTTTGTTCATAAATTCTCCAGGACCTGTCATTACCTTCCAAAGTAATAATTTTACGATATATGTGAAACGCATTATGGGAAGTATGCTTTGAGTCATGGAATTAGAAATGTGCGAAGATTAGAGGCTGTAACTTCTAAACCAGCAAAACTGTTCAAGCGTGGCCCCACTGCAGCGGTATCACCAGCAATGCCTCTCGGAGGAGCGCTGCACTTTGCTCCAAATAGTCGGTCCCCTCCACGAACAAGTGTGTAGCTGTTTACTTCTCCTTGTTAAACGTCAGCAAATTCAAGACCTAATTAATTGATGCACCGACGTGTTTCATTTCAGTTTCAGTCTATGGACCGAATTACCCCTTTTGCTTTCTTTCATTTCAACTCTTTCTTTGCTGCTCCTAAATAAGAAATACTTAGAAGTCAGAGGCAGAGTCTTCATGTTTCTTTTGTGGTTTCTACTGAGAAAATGATCGGAGGAAGCCGTGGCTGATTAGAGACCACAACAGGGGAGGACAACAACCTCCTGAGATCAACAGCCATGCGCCTGTGTGCCTGGCCACGGCCTCCTCGCTGGCCACAAACCTATGGGGCTGGAATTAAGCCTACGGCAACTTCGCCTGTTCCACACATGTTGGAAGAGAAGAGCTCGGTAGCTTAGTTTGTGATTAATTGAAAACTCCATCTCTCTGGATTCAAGGAAAAGACAATGATCAATTTTATTAAAATGCTTCAATTATGGGAGTCTACTGTTTTCTAAACTATAAAATACAAAGCAATCAGTCGGTTCCCTCCTCAGACGGACTGTTCTATAACAGGTGCACCTCAAAACCCACACAACCTCTAGTGCCTCGATGGTCACAGCAGAGCCATCGAAACTAGCAGACCGATGATGGGGCCACATGCATTATTTCACCAAGTCCCCTTTACGACCCCATGATGACCCACAGGTTGTGGATGAGGAAACCGACACTCGGGAGGGGAGAAGCAAACGCCCACTGTCCCACAGCTGAATGCAAAGTTGGGGCTGGTAGCCAGGCCGACTTAACCCCCAGCCCATGCCCCGCACAGCTGGGGTACAAGGGAACCTCTGGTAAATCAGGAGCCACACTTCCCTCTCTGCACACAACACACAACACGGCTGCTTCACAAGAAGCATTACGCTAAATGTGTCAGCAATAAAGGCCCCATGAGACAACCTCCATCTCAGTTCCCTGGCTTGAAGGGAGAGAGCACTTCCATGTCCTCCTCTGTTTGACGGCTTCAGCAATCTGTTCTCTTTGCCAACGAGTTTACTTCTTATAGGAAAAAAGAAACATTAAGCATGTAAGAGGTGCACACTTTCAGCCCCTTGTCCAAAGATTAGGACTCAAGGAACCCCTTTCTCTCAGACATACTCCAGGCTACAATACAGGTATTGATCGACTTACGACCTATGCAACTTACAGCCATTAGACTTTACGACCACAATTGCTAGCCACGACTGCTCCGCGTCTGGCAGCACAAACGTTGACCAGCTGGGCGTACGACAGTGAGGACCAGCTTCTGGCAGCACTACCATCTCCACGTGCATATAGCCTACTCAAATTATGACCAAATCATGTTACGACCGGTCTGTCGGAACCAATCGTGGTCATAAGTCGAGCACTAGCTGTATTTTAGAGCATGCTTGGACATGGGGAGAGGAAGCATCAGTGTGAGCCAGCAGCAATCCCACTGACACGGTTTGTCTGTGCCCCCCACCCCCCAGATCTCAACTTGAATTCTCGTTTCCATCATCCCCACACATCATGGGAGGGATCTGGTGAAAGGTAATTGAATCATGGGGCGTTTCCCTCATGCTGTTCTCAAGAGAGCCAATGAGTTCTCACAAGATCTGATGATTTTATAAGGGTTTTCCTCTGACCCTTTGCTCTCATTCTTCCCCTTCCTGCTGCCATGTGAAGATGGATGTGTTTGCTTCCAGTTATGCTATGATTGTAAGTATCCTGAGGCCTCCCTAGCCCTGTGTAACTGTGAGCCAATTAAACTTCTTTCCTTTATAAATAACCCAGTCTTGGGTATGTCTCTATTAGCAGTGTGAGAACAGACTGATACAGTAAATTGGTACTGCAGAGAGTGGGGCACTGCTATAAAGATACCCAAAAATGTGGAAGCAACTTTGGGACTGGGTAATAGGCAGAGGTTGAAACAGTTTGGAGGGCTCAGAAGTAGACAGGAAAACGTGGGGAAGTTTGAAAGTTCCTAGAAACTTGTTGAATGGCTTTGACCAAAATGCTGATAGTGATACAAACAATGAAGTCCGGGCTAAGGTGGTCTCAGATGGAGATGAGAAACTTCTTCAGAACTGGAGTAAAGGTCACTCTTGCTATGCTTCAGCAGAGAGACTGGTGGCATTTTGCCCCGGCCCTAGAGATCTGTGGAACTTTGAACTTGAGAGAGATGGTTTGGAATTGGAACTTATGTTTACAAGGGAAGCAGAGCATAAAAGTTTGGAAAATTTGCAGCCTGACTATGCAGTAGAAAAGAAAACCCCGTGTTTGGAAAAGAAATTCAAGCAGGCTGCAGAAATTTGCATTAGGAATAAGAAGCCAAGTGTTTGTCACCAAGACAGTGGGGAAAATGTCTCCAGGGTGCCTCAGAGGTCTTCATGGCAGCCCCTACCAAGAGAGTGGGGAAAGTGTCTCCAGGGCGCCTCAGAGGTCTTCATGGCAGCCCCTTCCAGCACATGCCCAGACGCCTAGGAAGAAAGATGGTTTCATATCCAAGCCCAGGGCTTGCTGCTTTGTGCGGTCTTGGGACTTAGTGTCCTGTGTCCCAGCTGCAGCTAAAAGCAGCCAAAATATAGCTCAGACCATTGCTTCAGCGGCTGTAAGCCCCAAGCCTTGGCAGCTTACCCATAATGTTGGGACTGCAGGTGCACAGAAGTCAAGAATTGAGGTTGGGGAACCTCCGCCTAGATTTCAGAGGATAAATGGAAATGCCTGTATGCCCAGGCAGAAGTCTGCTGCAGGGGCAGAGCCCTTATGGAGAACCTCTGCTAGGGCAGCGTGGAATGGAAAGGTAGGGTTGAAGCCCACACACAGAGCCCCCACTGGGGCATTGCCTAGTGGAACTGTGAGCACAGGGCTACCATCCTCCAGATCCCAGATCCGCAAACAGCTTACATCCTGCACTTGGAAAAGCCACAGACACTCAACACCAGCCACGAAGCCAGCTTGGAAGGGGGTTATATCCTGCAAAACCACAGGGTTAGAGCTGCCCAAGGCCATGGGAGCCCACCTCTTGCATCAGCATGACCTGGATGTGAAACATGGAGTCAAAGGATCCCCACTGAATTCAGACTTGCATGGGGCTAGCAGCCCCTTCATTGTGGCCAATTTCTCCTATTTGGAATGGGTGTATTTTCCCCAATGCCTATAACCCCGTTGTATCTAGGAAGTATAAATGGTACTTGCTTTTGATTGTAAAAGCTCATAGGTGAAAGGGACTTGCCTTTTCTCAGATAAGACTTCAGACCCAGACTGTTGAGTTAATGCTGGAATGAGTTAAGACTTTAGGGGAATGCTGGAAGGGTATAATTGTGTTTTGAAATGTGAGGACATGAAATTTGGGAGGGGCCAAGAGCAGTAAGACATGGTTTGGCTGTGTGTTCCCACCCAAATCCAATCTTGAATTGTAGTTCCTATAATCTCCATGTGTGGTAGCAGGAATCTGACAGGAGGCAGCTGAATCATGAGGGCAGTTACCTTCATGCTATTCTCATTATAGGGAAAGAGTGCTCATGAGATCTGGTGGTTTTATAAGGGGATTTTCTTCCCTTTACTCTCAATCTTCTCCTTCCTGCCACCATGTGAAGAAGGACGTGTTTGCTTACCCTGACACCAGGATCGTTAAGTTTCCTGAGGCCTCCCCAGCCCTGTGGAATTGTGAGTCAATTAAACCTCTTTCCTTTATAAATTACCCAGTCTTGGGTATGTCTTTATTAGCAGCGTGAGAACAGACCAATGTACCCAGTCTCCTCCCAGGCCTCACTTGGTTTCATAGAGCAGGAAAGCAGACCTCCGCCCTGGCCTTCTCTCACGGTGCACAGGTGTGGTGAAGGGTTCACCTGTGGCCACCAGTCTGTTTCCTAAACAGAAATACTCTGACTAAAATGGATGAGTGGGAGAAGAACAGTTGGAGGAAAAGAAGAGAAGGAGAGAGAGAAAGAATGAAAATAGAGCTTTGTATTTCTTGTAACTTCACATGGAGGGAAGACTAGGACACAGGAAAGTGAGTCCACAGCTGAGACAGCACTGTCCCACCACAGACTTTTCCTGGGGACACAGGACTTCCTACAACCATTCTGCATGGACCTCACAGCCTGCAGGACTATCACAGAGTGGTGGGAACCACACTTCTAGGAGGGGAAATCCTACATGCAAAAGGACTCTTCTTATCAATTCCCATGAACTGGAGTCCCACTGCAAAAGAAAATGACAACCAGACTCTAACTCATGAGATACCAGCTCTTCAAAGATTGACACGAGGTAGCAAAGTAAGACGTGAGATGAAGTTTATCAAACAGAGGGACTGGAAGGCAGGAAGCTGTGTCCAGGATCCAGGCAGAGGCAGCAGAGGGAGGGCTAGATATCAGGTTAAGACCAGGACAAGTCCCACTAGCAAGGTGGACAGGAGGTGAGCATGAAGCTCCCTATCGAGAGGCACCAGGGATTGCACAAGACCCCAGGACTTACAGCATGTGTGTGTTCCCGCCTGGCCAAGCCATAAGCTGGTTGTATGACCTTTGCAAAA